GCTCTCTACTTTGCTGTTTATATGTAGTCATTGGCATGGGCGGGATATGTCACTTATTCTTGTAATCAACAGACGGAGGATCGAGCCTCCGCCACCCCATGAGATGAATGATTAGCACTGGATTATCACTTTTCCTATTTATAATATTATGATATGGTGATTCGATTTTGATAAAGATTGATGTTGCTTAGGACATGCAACCTGTTTTCATGCTACTATTAATGATCATACAATTTAAAGTACTTGCAGCTGATGTGTCTGTGTGTGGGGAGGGTATGGCTTTCAAAAGTAAATCTATTGGATAACTGTATAATAACAGTCATTCAATTTTGCATTTAGAGCCTTCAGTGTAAATGTTGTTGTCTGGACAAAATTACATATATGGATTTAAATTATGATTCCTTGTTTCACAGGCGATTGTATTTAAACCATAAAGGGTTAGCGCTCAAAGTGTGTGTGTTGTGTGTGTGTGTGTGGTGTGTGGTGTGTGTGAGTGTGTGTTTGTGTTTGTGTGTTATAATTGGTATGGGAGGCCAGGGCCCCATCAGGGCCGCGAGAGTAAAAAAAAATAGATACAAATCACAGGTTAATCACAGATGTGATTAAATATACGTTTTTATAAGTTAATTTACAAGGAGAGTTAATAAATTGACGCGAGAAAGATAAATCATAATTTATATCTGGAAATTGTACATATATAATACTCCTTACGACAACAGGAGGTTCAATAAGTGCTACAGTGAAAAGCAGGGGTGCCATGTGTATACAAAGGCATAACTCAGTAGCGTTATGGAACGAAGACTGGAACACCTTCCCTTCATACATAAGGAAAATTACAAACAGGGAACTTGGTAATTTTCTGAAGACAGGTCCTTATTAGCTCTGCTGTAGTGCCTACGTTGGACAGTATGATCAGCCTCCAACAACCAAGTCAACCAGAGGCCTAGCCTGGGACTGGACTGTGGGGGCGGCGATCTCCCTAAATTGTGTACAGATAAACTATAGGTAACTAAAGGGAGTAGCTGATATTCATTCGAAGAGCTGTGAGAGTTGACGCAATTCATTATTGCAAAACAAACAGCTTCCTTAACTGATAAGATAGTCATATCAGTAGTCTGGGTACTAAACACAGTGGATAAGATTAATATTTATCCACACGTTTAGTGCGGTATTTCTTTGTCCTTGGTAGTGTATGTTAGCCAGTGAAGTGTGTGGAGTACTGCTGACATTGAGAGATTGTTCATGTGTTGGTAAGTGGTAAAAGTTTCTCGGTGAGGGACGTTATATCAGTCATAGGACACCTTTGATCTGATAACACCCGTGACTCTCAGCTCTGCTGATAACTCCCACGTACTTCTGTCCTTGCTACGTATCTTCCAGTCTTACCTTCTCCGAACTCATTATACAACAAAATTTAATTATGGTTAACTAATAATTGTAGTTACCGTAAATGAATTAGCCGTTAATATATTTTCAATAAATTAGTCATTATTATATGAGGCATTAGCTGGTTGTGTAAGCTATTATATGAGTACCACTATTTTCAGTAAGATTTGTGAACTGGTTCGGTGGAGTTAGACGAACCCTAAAATAGTTAGGTTAGTCTTGCCTCCTTTATTTATAATATAAGAAAATTGCTAAAAAGTTTTTTGTGTTGATACATTGTGGTAACCTTCACCGAGCATGGTAGGCTTAGCACACGCCACAGTAGCCAGCTGCGCTGTGTATCAAACAAATTTTACCCTGATAGGAAATTCCCAAAGTTATGCCTAGGTAGTTAAAGTATAAATGACCTGACATTGCCCTTGATTTAACAAGGCCTTGTGGAGTGGCTTGATAGCCTTCAGTATGTCGACATTACATAGTACACAGCTGCTGCATAAGCCGGTCATGCTCGTTTACACTTTCCAACAAGTGGAAAGCGACTACAATATCGGGAACGAGTTATTAATTCCCCCTTGTTTGTTTGAAATTTAAAAAAAAAAAATATTAAGTGGGATGAGCTTAAGTGGTATAGTACGTATAATGATTTTATGCAGGAAGAAGACACGAGGGGTAGATGAGCGAGGTTGTGGAGTGCTAGGGTGTGATGGTTTTATCTGCACCTGGTGTTGCCTAGTAACGGCTGGCGAATCACCTGGTGTTTTAACTAGTTTCCAGTTCGACCGTACGCCATACCCCACGTGGGACCTATAATATACCACCCACGCCTCTACAATGTTCTCACGCTCTCAACCCCTTCAACGTACTCGCTTCCGCTTCTTCAAGCCGTGCCAGAATATTCATACGTGGTTGCACTTTTCGTTTAAGTTTTGGTTCTGTTGATATACACTTACTTTATTAGTAACCCCGAAGGGGCACCTTTATGTGGATGTATGGTTTTCTTTCAGTTTCTTTCTCCCTTCAAGGTTTTCGTGTATAGCTTGAGAACGTCGTCTGATTGATTTAAAATTTCAGTGCTGGTGTACTGTGCCTAGCGAAAGGATCATACAACAGTTGGCATGGACAAGTCTCCTCTCATCAGTTTTATATAGACCATTGCCAATTTGGAATTATTGGATTTTGTGATAACTGTAGAATGCATCTTCTGATCGGCTTCAGACTTTTACAGCTGGGGTTTGTTTCCTCAAAGGAAGCTTCACATTGATTTTAGGTAGTATAAGTTTTAATGTTCCAGTTTTATTGAATAGAGTTAGGTGCATTATCTGGAGAATGCTTCAGACTGACTTTGAACTGCCCAAGCTGATACATCTTAGTGAAAGGGTCGATTTTTTTTTCCTGCGTAGGTCCCATTTTGTAATATTTATTGAAGGGATTGGGGTTCTAGTTTTCACGCGATAGCATGGGCACCGTGAGCACTATAAGAGGACATTGTATCAACATCCGTGGACTATTCAGCGTCTTACAAGAAATCAAAAACACGCTGGAACAAGTGTTAAGTCTTTGAGAGAAAGCTGGGCACTAGGCACCAGATCAATGAGGCTGTGATGGATATATGGGCCAGCGGGCCGCCAGCAGTAACAGCCTGGTTGACCAGGCAAGCACCAGACGATCAAGGCCGGGCTCTGGGAGTAGAAAAGCTCTGCGAAATCATCAAAGGTATAAGTGCGACCATGGTGAGAATGTTCACAAAATACGTTAAGGTCTTCCATTGGGCCTCAGACAATATTAACGACAAATAATTTTAGTTCTGCTATTGAAGAATGGGGGAAATTGATGGGTTATATTTCAAACTATATTTATTCAATAAAGGGCAAGTTCTATGTGCGAAACATGAGAATAATGTCATAAAATCTCATATTCAAGGATCAAAACAATGTAGCCATTGCTACCGCAAGAAAAATGATATGCTGGATAAATAGAACTTTCAAGCCAAGAGATGCTGAGCCAATGACACTTACGTGGTGTTGGTGGCGTATGGTATTTGTGACGTATTTGATAGTTGGTGGTGGCTGCGTGAGCAGTGGTAGTGCCGGTGTGAGACAGTTGGTAGAGCTGGGATGACTCACTGTGGGGGATGATGACACTGGTGGCGGCGGCGGCGGCAGAGGACGTTCAACCCCGCCTCATCTTCACCCCCCCAATCACAGACCTGGATCACCCGGCCTCTCTCCCCAGTCCACACAGCCGCCGTCTCCGCTCTCACAGCCGCCGCCACCGCCCTCACAGCGGTCACCTCCTCCCATACCGTTGAAATGGCTATATTCACTAAGTGCATTATCACCAGCACTGCGTATGACTAACACACTACAGTTAACCACAAGTAACTGAAAGCTTCAAATTTTCACGATTACTGTGGAATTCTGTGTCACGACTGTAATATAGTCAGTGTTGCGACAATTGTCTATGCCAGTACTATGTTGCTACAAGAAACTCAGCGTTCTGGCAACTCTTCTGTCTGCCTGTAGAGCTTCGTCATATTTTACCTTGATGTAGTTATACACTAGGGGTGTGCCAGAGTATCAGTGGTATCCGTTTTCTTTTATGTAAATAAACCTAACCTTACTTTTAACTTATCCAAACCTGGCCATGCATAACTTGTACTGAATTAACGTGATAAACGAGATCCAGCAAAAATGAATGAACGGCAGTTCAGAGGAGAATTGTACGCTTGAATTGAAAAGGTTGACGTGGGGGGGGGGGTATAGCAAAAGGCTGCAGTGTATTTATGTGCGCACCAAGGCCAGTGGTATTGAAACCATTTTAGAAGGCCCCTTCAATCAGTTTTGTGGCGTACATGGCAGGGGAATTTTTTTTTTAAGACAAAATTTGCTGGTGATAATAGCCTGAGACTGAACGAATTCTTAAAATGATTAGAACTGCAACAAATGGGTTAAGCATTGTTTAGATTGTAGTTATATCTGTATGTTAGGTTGGTAACCAATTGGTATTGATATACATCTAGTTAAATAACTGAAAAACTAGTGCTAATAACGACAGTGAATTAATAATGATGTAAAATATACATTTTTATTTTTAACTGAATGAGAGAAGTATCTTACTACTTAGTAGACCATACAACCCAAATCTTGAAAGGCGTAGAGTCAGAGTTGGTTAAAAACATGCATTTGCTCTACGGTGTTAGTAGTAACAAAATATGATACACCTCGTAACCATGGATTAAAAAAATTGACAGATATAGATTATCTAAAAGAAAAGAAATACATAAGCATTGGTTTTGCAATAGTGTAGATGAGGGGTAAACACTAACGAGTTTACATATAAAATAGTTTTGATATCTCAAAAATAGATGAATACCAGAATTAAGAAAAATTGGGTGTCAATATCTTATTGCAAATTTTTTTTTTGACATTTTGATAAGTTTAATGGGGAAAGTACTTGTTGAAGACCTTATAAACTTGGCTTAATCAAGAGTTATTATTACCAGTACAATCAGTGTACTGCTGGCCGTGGAAGGAGTAAATGGAGGAGCCATTGATGTGGAGATCTTGTGTACCACACGTGCCTTAACACACTCAATATCGATTCTCAATTTACAGGCGATGAGTTGAATTTGGAGCTCTACTTTTCCTGTGATATTTAGTGTTAAGTGCATCGAGCGTCTATCAAAAGGCATTACTCACAAAACTGAAATTGTATTGTGATGTGTGATCGTGTGAATAATGTTAAAAGCAGTCAGCTGATCATTGATACATTGTTGTATCTGATCGAGAGTGCCATGGTTACAAGATCAGCATAACCCTGATGTGACCGCTGTGACTAGACTTGTGAGGTGCTGCCGTAGGCTTCTGGTGTGGCTGAGCAGCAGTGTATATAGTGTGTAGAGGGTAGCGCTAGTGCGGTCGGTGGTTTGTTGGGTTACCCTGCCACTTGCCACGTGTCAACTGGCCCTCTGTGAGAGTCCTGCCAGGTGCGCTGATGCTGGCTGCCGCCCGGGGTCCTCCAGGCCCCACTCCCACACCGCCCACTATGCCAGAACCACGCCCACACTCGCACAAGATCCACCTTCAGCAAGGTCCAGCGCGCTTCCACAAGCCCTGGTACAACCCTCCATGGGTAAGTTAATCTTTTGTTCACTCGCTTTAAAGAGGGCAGATTACACGTTTGTAGTCTCACCACGTGCTTCTCCTCCCAGACTAACCCTTTAACATTGTTTGTGTATTAAAGTAATGTTCTCCTTTTAACTTTGGTGTGACTTGGCTTAGTGGTAGCTGTGTTGCTTACAGGTAGGATTAACACAGGCGTTGGGATACAAGATGCTATCAAATACCGATGAGTATGTGAATAAAATGTGTAGCGTTATGATATATATTAAGTTTATCTCAGTAAAGTTTTGGAATGACAAAGCTCCCCTCGATGCCAAACCTCTTGGTATCCTAATGCTACACCTGTTTTACTCGCACAAACATGTATTATTTGCGTATTATCACAATACTACACAACTGTCTTAAGACAACCGTTTTTGTAAGGTTCATATGTGATAACGGCACACCCCTCCTACTTTTAAATGAATAAAATTGTGTACGTCTGCAGTACGGTGCTTCCCTTCACACAAATAATACGTCTCCCAATCATATTCCATCACAAGATGGATTTCGTGTACATCAGGTCTGAGATGGAAGACATCAGTAAGACGATGAAAATATCGTCAGCCATTTCACTATTGGTTTAGTAGCTGCGGCAGCTTCAGAGGTTTCTTTCCAGTAGATCTTGAATTGCTATTATATTGAAATTACTATCTCTCACGATGTACTATCGTACACAGAAATGAAAATTATTAAAGGTATCACATAGACAAATTAGTTAAAATAGCATTATTTACATAAAAAACACTTAACTGTAGCTTAGCTATAGTGTTTCTGGGGTCACCCCTGCGGCCCAGTCTCAGACCAGGTCTCCTGGTTGCTGACCAGTTCTTCGTGCCTGCCGCACGCAGACCAACGTATGTATGACAAGACTCACGAAATCGTAATGACACGATTGCAAAACAAACCATACCACGGGCGGGGATAGAACCCGCGATCAGAGTCAAAACTTAAGATCGCGGGTTCTATCCCCGCCCGTGGTATGGTTTATGTATGACAACTTGGCTGATCAGGAACTGACTTGAACTTGTCTGGTTCCCTCTCGCAACAGGTCACGGGTAGGTCGTTAGGTTAGTTTGGTACCACAAAAACTGTATACCTCATTTCACATAAATATATCGGTGCATTTGATAAAAACTATAGTGCAGGAAGATTCAGTATTGTTGCAGTATGACCACGTCATTTCTTGCACACGAACAACAATCATGTAGTGTTGGTAAGAAACATAGATCAAGAAAATTAAAAATAAATTAGAACCAAATTCAAATATGGGTTTATTTACATTCGTTATTAAAGAGAGAGGAACTGGGAAGATATGGTTAAGACAAGAGGGGGAAAGAGAGAGAGAGAAGGGAAATGAGAGATGGAGAATGAGTGATCGATCGATCTCTGAAGACAGTCACTTGTAAACCCCTTGGCTGTATCGGATCATCTGACCACAAGGCGCGCTCTACACAAGATTTCAACAAAACGAGGTGAAGAATATACACGTCTTTACCTTGAACTCATCAAAGGTAAAGACACTGCCCAACTGTGGGAAAAAAGAAACTGCCGGCCCTTTGCTCGGATCTTGCCGATACCGATTGGAGTGTTCTTTGTGACATTGATAACCAAGTGAATGCCTTCAGTGAATGTATCCTTAATCTCCAACTCGATGCATCCCTCACCGGCAGTATGTGACGAAGCCTTCAGATCAGCCTTGGTTCGCCTTTCGTTGTGGAGAGGCCGCTAGTACAAAGCTCGGAGAAGGTATAAGAAGCATCCCGCTCTAAGGGGAACCCGCATAGGTAAGCATGTCGGCAAAGGGAAAAGGTCTCAAAGTGGGCCATCTCTAGATGGGAGGCTGACACACAAAGAAAACCGTTATCAGGGAGGGTGGGCTCCAGAACCTGGTGTTCTTGATCAAGGACCGACAAGATCATGAACCTGATGGCATTAGTCTACCTCTAAATCGACAGAGTGGAACCGTCTCTACTGGTAGTCAGGAGAAAGCTGACCTCTTTGCTGAACAATTTGTTGTCAAGATGCAAATTCCTGATCCAGCAGGAAAATCCTTTCTAGCCGTAAGAACTGTCAAAGTTGTAAGTGACAGTAAGGCAGGATGAAGTGTATCATCCCAGGACCAAGGAAAGGTTATGTGGGCCCAGATAGGATAACCTCAAGATTGCTGGGTAGACGCGCATACCAGCTAGCATCACCTCTAACTTGCATCTATAGCACTGCTTAGTACAGTGTAAATTCGACTACGATTTGCTTCTTTGTGACCGTCAATATGGCTTCAGGAAAGGTCAGTCTACTGTTGATCTGCTGTTAAACCTCTCCACGGTGTGGCATCAATTACTGGATGAATCTAAGATTGTGTAATAGCACCGGACATAGCTGTGTTTTTTGACAGAGTATGGCACAAGGGACTCGTGGCAAAATCTGCAAGCTCTAGGAGTTGCTATGCCTCAATCAGCAGTGTTTAGGTTATTTCTGTGGCTTTGTCTTGAAGAGTAGAAGTTGTATAAGTAGACATGCCTGTACAACTTTTGGAACTGATTTAAAAAATCACAGTCCTGAAATTTACACGCTTTTATTTTTTTTTCACAGTATGAAGCCAAAGTATGCGAAAAAAGTCACGTAAAACTGAATCTTGAATTCAGCAGCCTGTATCTCCAAAGAAAAACATTTCAGTATGACATTATTGTAGCCAGCTACCCAAGTGAACATCGTCACAATCCTAAAATATCAGACTCCAAACGTTTTTAGTTCCTGTGCTAATGGTACTTAAAAATCCCCTCACAGACTTCACGGTGAATTTTAGGCTCTTTTTGAAGACCAATAGCAAAAAAGCAGCACAACCAATTTGCTTAAAAAATAAACTTTATTAGAAAACAGATTCTAAACTATAACTATTTTCTGGATAGACATTTTGCCCTTGAAGGGAGAAATCAGGTCTTAAAATAAGGTGATTTTTGGCTTGTGGAACATTAAAATGAAAACCAGGCATTTTTCAGTTGCTCTTGTTATAGAGCAACAGCAGCTAGAACATCGTGTTTAGGTGGTCTTGTACAATTTTCCCTGGCGATTTCAGAAATTATCTAAATTTATAGGGACCGATATTTATTTTGTACATTAAGCTTAAAGCTTTCAAAAGTGTCGTGATAACTGGCAGGTTTTGGCCTTGCTGATTTTTGGCAAAACATTAATATTGCGCTGGTTCATGTTGGCTGCGCCACTACTAATTATTAAAAAAGTTGGTAACCCCATGGCCTAGGGGTTACGCCCGATAGCCATGCAGTAACAGCTACGGGTTGTGGGAGAGAGTTGGAACTGGGGATGAGGTTGATATCCTTGGTGAACATTTTATTCCAAACTGACCATGACGAACTGCGTAGTAAATCTGGCAAACAAGGAGGCAAGGAAGCTTGCAGCACCTAGACTTAGTCGTATCTGTTCGACAGTAGAGGTTGCAGGACTCGGTACGAGACAGGTGTGTTCACGCCATGAATACGTTCCACTTTCTTGGATTGTATGCTCCTTCTTTCAACTACGACTTTTTGACAGAATAGAGAACAAAGACGACTTATCCCTCGTCTGAACCCGGCCTGGAGTGGTGTGTCGTTTTAACAGAGCCTTCAACACCGGATGTATGTGGCCTTGCTGTTATGTACAAGGCCAGTGTTGTTAGGTACTACACTTGGCTCTATTTCGTGGTCAGGGAGAAGTTTACCTGGAGGGTATTCCGGGGATCAACGCCCCCCGCGGCCCGGTCCACGACCAGGCCTCCCGGTGGATCAGGGCCTGATCAACCAGGCTGTTACTGCTGGCCGCACGTAGTCGAACGTACGAACCACAGTCCGGCTGATCCGGCACCGACTTTAAGTATCTGTCTAGCTCCCTCTTGAAGGCAGCCAGGGGCCTATTGGCAATTCCCCTTAAGCATGGTGGGAGGCTGTTAAAGAGAATGCTTTTACACAGGACGGGCAGCGAACGGTATCTACACTGGTTTGTACCATTCTCAAGAACATTACTTCATCTGAGATTATAAATTCCTAGAATGACCGACGAGTCTGGAACATGTTCGCACAGCATAACATCGATTAAATAGTCAGTTGACCAAATGCTGGCCCACAGATAGCTTCAACTTCATATTGTTCCTTATTTGTATGATTCATAACAATAAAAAAGCTCTCAGATGAGTGGAGGTAAGGTAACAGCTCTTAGCTTGTAAATAATGTAGGAACTCTTAAAGTATCCCAGTAAAACCACTGTGTAAATAGAGACCAGAGAGCGGGGGAGGGGAAAGAAGAAAAGAGTGGGGCCTAGAAAATTGGGAGAAAGTAATCCATCTTGCTAGGAGGAAAAGCCTGCAGTTGGGTAAGTGGTGGTGAGCAAACCTTATTCATGTGACCCACCCACGATGTCTCAACCCTTGTGCTTCATTAAATCTCCTTCCCGGCATCCTCGTCCATCCATTAGTCTACCCTTTCCATTCTCCCACATGCCTGACCTCAGGCCCAGTCAGGTTAAACCCTCAGAATAGTTCACAGGTATGTCTTCTGCCCGTCTGTCACTTTCAAACCCTCTACCATTCCACTCCCACCTCCCCATCAAACTCCCATCCCGATGCCACTTCCATCACCACATACACCTCTTGTTGGAGAAATAATCATACATTGATAGATACGATGAAGTTGAAGGTGGTAGTAGGGGTAATGAGATGTCAGCGTCTCGTTACCTATGGAAGTGGAACAGAAGGCATGAAAATAAAATCATGGAGGTCAGTGGTTTTCCATTGGGATAGGGAAATGGGAAGAAGGGGGGAGCGGGTATGAGTATTACTGAGCTGCCATCATCTGTCTTGTCCCGGAATGCTAAGAAAATACATCTTAAAAAGAGGTTATTAAAACTTAAATTATTTGTCACATACAGGAAAGAGGAGATACCATAAATGTAAAGACAAGGAAGGGCAGCAGAAAATACACG